CTGTCCTCTAGGGGCGCTGTGGGTCAGAATGGACTCCACGGCAGTGGGTGTGGTTTGGGCTTTGCTTCTGTGAAGATTGACAGCCTTGGAAACCCTGTGGTGCAGTTCCACTCTGTCCTCTAGGGGCGCTGTGGGTCAGAATGGACTCCACAGCAGTGGGTGTGGTTTGGGCTTTGCTACCATGACGACTGACAGCCTTGGAGACCCTGTGGGCAGTTCCACTCTGTCCTCTACCAGAGACAGGTGCATCTCAGTCACAGAGGGTGGGCAGGGTTCCATCACTCACGCAAACATTAGCCAATCACAGGTCTTCTGTTCCTCTCTCTCCTTTTGTCTGTATAAGCTCATTGGAATCAGCCTACTTGCAGCTATTTGCTTTTTTTTTTCAAGTCAGAATGGTCTCCTCCCTATATGCACATGGTGGTTCCGTGCCTAAGGCATCTGACTGCTAACCAGAAGGTTGGTGGTTCAAACCCACCAGCTGCTCCAAGGAAGAAAGATGGGGCTAATCTACTTCCCTAAAGATTTACAGCCTTGGAAACCCAATGGGGGTCACTGTGAGTCTGAATGGATTCGAAGTGAGTCAGAATGGACTCGGTGGCCGTGGGTTTTGTTTTCTAAAATATGCACATAGATTAACAACTCAGAGCAAACCTTGTTTCAATTATTTGACTCTAGATTATTTTTGAGAAACATTCAGGCTGTTTTCTTTCTTTAGTATGAACGCCAACCGGGGCACCTTAGCACAATTGTGCCAACAGCAGTAAGTACTTTTCAAGGAACACCCCTAAATAAGACACATTTCCACAACCCATTCCCTCCTGGGGTCTTTTACATGCTATGCTTTCACATATGAAATATGTGAAATACATACCAGCCGTATTTCTGGTCACATCCAGCATCCATAGTCTGTTTGATTTGTAATAGTCTAACACAGCCACACCGCAAAACACACTTGGCCCTATCATGGTCGCACTGTTACAAACACAATTTTCTGACCCATTTACATGCAGTCAGGCCTCAAAACCAGTGTTTTGCGTCACTTTGGAGACACACGTTTTGAACGGTGCCGCAGCAGGCAGAAACTGCTCGAGAAGGGAAATCTTACCATCTTACCACCAAGAAGGATAATTTTCAAACTCACAATTAGGAAAAAAATCGAACTAAACACCAAAACAATGTAGGGCAAAGCCTGGATTTCCATGTAGGTAACCCACCTCCTCTGACCATAAGTCATAAAATAGCATTCATACGAAAGAAAACTTTCACTGCTCACAAATGCAACAGAAATACAACCACACACCTGCTTTCGAGGTGCACAACACACAGGTTTCCTCTAATACATGAGAGGAAACCTTTTCCTGTAAAAGATACAGTAATCAAAACAGTGTAGGAGTCCACTATCTAAAAAGTTAAAGAAAGGTTTACACATGAAAGTTTCTTTTTTGGTTTCCAGGGTAGGAGGCAGTGGAGGGAAAATTGTTAGATAGGTAAGGGGAGAAAAAAAAAAAGAAACAGACTAATCAATATGCTCGTACACCCCAATAAAAGGGGGAATGAAGCTAATACCCGTGGTTATCAAACCAATAACCAAACTCACTGACGCTGAGTCAATTCCAACTCATAATGACCCACAATGGGTTTCCAAGGCAGTAAATCTTAACGAAAGTAGATCGCCCAGTCTTCCTTCTGAGGAGTGGCTAGAGGGTTTGAACCACCAACCTTCTGGTTAGCAGTCAAGTGCCTTAGGCACTGCACCACCAGAGCTCCTGGTTAGACAAACTATTAAATAACCAAAAATGGTTCACCCTGCAGGAGTTTCTGGAATAAAAAAGAAAAATAAAAGCATTCATTGAACCCAAAGAAAGAAGGACACTTTAAATGAAATGCACTTTTAATTGAGACGACTGGGAAATCGGCATTTATTTGAGGAAGGACCTGCTTCATCCAAATCAAAGCAGTGGAATGAAAACTCAAGCTATGGAATGGTGGTCCCAACCCACCAGCCACTGTAAGAAAGGAAGGCTGGGCAATCTACTTCCGCAGTGATACCGCCTCGGAAATCCAAGAAGGGGTCACTATGAGTCGGATCCGACTTGACAACAGTGAGTTTGGATTTTTTGGTTTTTATGCAATGGCCAGGCTGCATGAAGGTATTAAAATAGAGATATACAGTTTGAGCTGGTTTTCCACGAACTGACACGTTCTGCGACAAAACTTAACCAGGAAAAAGTAGAAATTTTCTAGACACTTGAGCAACACGGTTTAAATCAAAGAGTCCCCCTGAATGCAACACAGAGTTGACTCCTTGTGTCTTACACGGCGGTGAATGTGAGAGGACCACTTACCTAGAATGCCCAGCCTATAGTTGACAGTTATGACAATGACATTGCCGTAACTCGCCAAAATGCTGCCGTCAATCATGTTGCCAGTCCCTTCCATGTAAGATCCTCCATGGATGTAAACCATCACTGGCTTCTTACTGCTCTGATCATGGATGTCTGGAAAACAAAGCCATGTAAGGAAAATAAAGAATCAAACCGATTCACTCACGCTACACTAAAAGGCACAGAGCACTCCTGGACCGATCTCCAGTCACGTTAACGGCATTTCTACGTATGAATTACGAGAATTCCAATGCAATTACACTTTCCATTCATAGAAACGGTGTCTGGAGAAACACACAGTCATTGTGAGTCATCTGTCCTTGACAGGAGCTAATGTACAGTTGGAAAGCACTCAAAAATAACCTAAGACCCTCATTTCCTAAATATTGCTCAAACGCCATCAAGTGATTGAAACAAAAGAAGCGCATGATGTATGATACAACATATATGTTCATTGTCCAAGTAAGTGTCAAATCAGCTGAAAAAATGATCATTTCTTTTCAACGGAACTGCCCTCGTAAGTCAAAAGGGAGTCATCAAATCATTTTCCACTTGGGGGAAAACATGTGGCGGTGAAACGAGGCACATTGAATATAGGACAATGGAAACCATAGTCCATTGTTGTCTAAACATTATTCACAGAAGAAAAACGTGTGCCACACGGACCAGATGTCCAAGCCACTGGTTTGGCAGAGTTTACTGGCTGAGTGATATCTCAACATATTTCAATCAAAAATGAAAGCAATGCCAGAAAAAAATGGCAAAAGACCCCAAAGTCAAAGGGAAATCATCTAAGGGGGTAATATTCTCAGAGAACACAACTTCCGTTGTGATCGGCAGGCAATGTGCACCCTTAATAACCCTTCTAATGTAGAAAGATGGACAGACGTGTGGTGATGGCTTGTGAGATGACCTGCAGAACTCATAGCGTGTGCTCTCTGAAAACTGATGGCAGAATGAACCTAGGCAGCCAAATTCAAGGTTCTGAAAATATGTAACAAAGTTTTAGCGCCCCCACTCATTCCTGGAAGCCATTGTGAAATATCGAAAGGGAGTCTGATCGAATGAATGACCCCATTTGTTGATGGCGGCTGCTGCCTGGATGAGCTGGGACCATGACTGGTGGGTGCCACCCAGCTTAGAGGAGGCGTGGGGAACCCACAGCTCCGACCACTGCCCAGTCACAGTCAAGTACAAAAAAGAGTGTCACATTTTTCATAAGTCCCCTGACATCTCACCCACAGCTAAAGGGCGTCTCTCCCTTTCTGAATTAAAAATCCAGTTGCTGTTGATCATTTATTAATCCTTTGTTAAGTGTAAGCTATATCTTGTTGAGGGAAGGCCCTCAACAAGATGGACTGACACAGTGGCTGCAATGATGGGCTCAGGTGTAGCGAGGATCGTGAGGCTGGCACAGGCCCGGGCAGGGTTTCATTCTGCCATACACGGGGTCGCTATGAGTCGTAGTCAACTTGATGGCACCTAACAATAACATAAGGAATTTAAAAACAAGGAAAACTGCTCGTTGGATAAGGATTGGCGTTTTGAACCATGAGATGCTTCTCCCCCTGTTTTCATCTTTGTGCCCCTCTTTTGTTTATCACTGGTGGCTGCTGGCACCTATGCTGTAGCAAAAGGGTGAAGGGGAGAGGCTGCCTGGTTTCGACAAGGTTCTTCCTCAGAGAGTTGATTCTATTACTGTGTCCTCACTTTAATACACAGAGAACAGGGCTTTTCTTGAACTTGAGGGAGTACTAACGGGATGTGAAGTTAATTCACAGAACATCTCATGGTATATGGGTGTTAAACGGAACTCAGAAAGCACTGTAACAGTCATCAGGCGACACTGTGAACATTGTGGAAACAGATCCTAATTGTGCCAAGGAAATCTACTGCAAGGAGGGAGATGAGGATGAAAATTCCAACGGAATAAGGAACGGAGAGAGGGGAGGGGACCTAGGTTAGGCTTTGTTGGAAGGCGGATCAGAGAAGGTGAGGGGTGAGTCGGTCATAGGGACAATCTATGCGACCACCGTCAGAGATCTCTCAGAGAACCATGAGAGGCCTGCGGGCTTAGGCCTTAGTTAAGAAATCACCTGAAGTGGGGACCAGGCTTGAAAGCAATGTTGGCAAAATTTCATTTCTTGGAGAGCAGTTGATTCATGAAAAGAATCCGAGAGGGCAGAAAAAACACACAATTGATAAAAAGGCCTTTGCCGGGAAGTAAAGCTGACAGGCAGGGAAAACTGACCGCGGCCCACGTCTCAGGATTAAATTGCTTCTCACCCAGGGCACTAAAGGTCCATCAACTTCTTTCTTCATCCATAAAGGTAAGAAAAAAAAAAAAAAAATTGGAATTCTGTGAGCTTTGTAACCCAAATGGGAAAATACGCTTTTATCCGTTCTAGAGGGCCTTCTCAACCAGTCAAGGTTTGTTTACTTATTATTATTGTTCTATTTTCTGCTCGCAAACCTTTTATTCTGCAAAAGACACACGTACAATGTGCTGGCTGTCTGCCTGCAGTCCATGTACTCTCCACGTTTAAAAAAAAAAAAAAAAATTCCTGCTCTTCTGGTGGATAATTCGTCAAGCAATTTGGGATCTTTGGGGGAGAAACTTCCCATAGCAACAGAACATCGGAGGAGAAGAAAATGTGTTCACAATGGCTGTGGTGTGGGAAGAACGAGGCAGAGAGTGAGCTTTTGGAACTTTCTTTCGATTCTTAGTCACCCCTAGTTTTTCTTTTCCATGCTGCCAAGTGGT